GCAATGCCTTGCATTTTTGGCGCAGAAAAAGATAAAAATATATTTTTATAATATGACAGTTGTTTGTCATGTACGTGTTTGTTGCTGGTAACCACATGAATGGAGTCCACTACCACCTATGGGGTAAAATTTCACGCACAAGAAATGCATTTAGGGGTATGATGGGAATTTTGAGTGCAAAATCTCCCAAAAATATCCTTAGATTTTAATTATAAGGATACCACATAAGAGAGAGAATCTTGGGGGGATCCATCATATTTTCTAAAGTTTTTCTCTCCCTCCATTGACGCACAACAACTCCTTTTTCTTCTTCTTTCTCCCATCTATTTTTAGTGGTGTTCTTCCATTGATGAATGATAATTGTCGTTTTGTTATCAAAATAATTTCGGCTTCTTAAATAGAAAGGAAAATGTAGTATAAAGAAGCAAAGTCGATCCATAATGACTGTGGTGTTTCTGATTTGGTAAAATTGTTTCTTGATTTTAGGAGGAGATAGAATTCCAAGTAAAGTTGAAAAGATTTAATAAAATAAAATAGATAATAATAAATAAAAGGGAAAATAATAAAATAATAAATCATAGTAGTAAAATAAAAAAAATGGGTTTTTAAAAGTTGTTTTTAAAATAAAAGATAAGAATTAAATAAAAGAAATAATTAAATAAATTATTGAAAGAGATCGAGATAAAGAAAACTTATAGTGAAAGCAGCTTCAGACTTCAGCTTTGCCTCAAATTCCTTGGATCATCGAAACAGATTTTTACTTCAAGATTCACGTCAGCTTACAAGGACAATTCTTCGTTGCCAACTCGGATTGTGTTGTTTTAACAATAACTGATTCCGATCTCAGTTTCCTCTTAGCAAACAATTTTGCTAAATGTGTTCTCGGGAAGCTGAATATGCTTCAATAAGCAAATCCTTCTTCAAACGTTAACCATAACAACATCCGGACCAATGTTGAAATCGTTTTGATTTGAAAAGTAAGCTCAGAAAACAGAGAGAGAAATTTGAAGTGATTTAAGTACCTCACATTTCTCACATTTGGAATTGAGCCTTCGCTTTAGTTTTCGACTTGAAAGAAAATTAGCTAAGCATGGCCAATGTCATACTTATCAATTGTTGAAAACAAAATTTAAAAGAAAATAGAGGAGTATGCGAAAATATATAGAAAGCTAGAGAAAAAAGGAAGATTTTATTCTCAGATGAGATAAATATGTTTCTAGGCTTACCCTGAGAGGGTTTTTATAGCCTTCAAATTCCTAAAAACAATCTAAAACATCTTAAATCCTAATTAAAACACTTAAAACTATTTAAAGTAAAATACCTAAAACGAAAATAATATTTAAAATAATATTCTAAATCCTAATTAAAATACTAAAACTTATTTAAACAAAAATACTTAAAACAAAGATAAAATATAAAAATAATATCCTAAAACTTAATTAAAATACTAAAACCTATTTAAACTTAAACACCTAAAACAAAGATAAAATATAATGTTTAAAATATTATCCTAAAACTTGAGTTTAATCCAAATCCGAATTCCAGAAATGTGCGGCCAATCCATTCGTGCTTCTAGAAACGCTGACTGGATCTTCTAGAAGGTGTTGATGTCATCGCCTAGTCAGATGTTTCATGTCCGAATTCATGCCCACTAATCCATCTTTGATTCCAGAAATAAAAAAAAACAAAATTCTCTCCTTTTTGTGCAATTTCCAGAATCTGACGTCCTGTACAGAAAATGAATCAAAACGAACAATTAAGCCACAAAAATCAATGATTAAGGAGTAATTTAGAAGCAAAATATTAACTAAATTAAGCACTTATCAATGAAGCTCAAGGGAGTGGCGTAGCATCCGAGAGGAGCTCGCGCTATAGTCGTTCATCGTGGCTTGAAGGAAGTGTCGGCCATGCAAGCCTAGTGCTTTCTTCTCCAACCTTTGTTCCATTTTTAAGCTTGAAACTTTAGTTGGGTTGTAAGGTCGAATGACATTTTTGTATACTCCATGGTTTGTTCAAACCCCACCATGAACTTAGTTATATTTGATGGGGTTTATTTGATGAATGCTTGAAACTTTAATGGTTGATGAATGTTTATCTTTTGTTTTTACTTGTTTTGTTTATGTGTGTTTCATCTTCCAAGATTGTAGGAGGCATGAGAGTGTCCATTTCTTATATGAAGACTAGATGTTTGAGAGAAATCTAGTCACTAATTCTTAAGTATTTGAGAGAAACTTAAGTATTATTAACATAAACAATGGGGTATAGTTAATCACTATAACATAATCCCTTAGTACTTGAGAGAGACTAAGCTAGGATTTCAACGACTAATAGGGTAGTACGTTTTCAATAGTGTAGGTTGCCATAGTTGAGACTGAGAGGAGATGTAATGACATTCTATTCCGTTAGGTTCTTAGACTAGAGATAGCAAGAACACTTTTAGCAAACTCTGTCGAACAAGTAAAGCATTAGAAGAGTAGATCAACTAGAAAGATAAGTTTTCAGCTCCTTAATTGACTCCCTACCATTCATTCCCGAAGTAGTTTCTCGTGTGAGGAATATCAAGTTATTCAATTTATTTGCTATTTTTACCATTTTACATTGACTTGGTATTTTCATCATTTCACATTATAAACTGTTCTCTTGCCCCGACACAATTACATTCCCCTACCATCATTCCATTCACCCTTACATCTCCATTATCGAAGCATTATCAGTGTATATATCATTTCTATACTTATATAATTTAGTATAATGTTGTGGTCAAACTCATAAATTCCACCAATCCCAGAGAACTATTTTCACTTATCATTATATTACTTACTGCGATTGTGTATACTTGAACATTATTTGCGTATAATTTTATAGTACTCACAACACGCAACAATCCACCATGAATTTCACAACTAATGCTTGAGGTCTATCTCCCTTGACGAATTTGAAACCATTTTCATACTTAATTTTTGGTAAGCGGATCAACAAGATACCTTTCCAAACTCACATACTCTAAAGAGAGTATTATGTTCCTTATTAAATGTCTCATAGACTGATGCCTTATACAAATGTGTCTTTTATCATCATTTTATACTTGACTCAAAGTTATACAAATCGCTGCTTGTGAATCACATAATAAGGACATCGAATGAGTCAATTTTCCCTATCAAGGAATTTATACCATCAAATTCTCGAGCCAATAAGATTCTTGCCTAGCTAGGCCAAGAACAATAAAGTTTGACTCCATAGTGGAGTGAGTAATACATGGCTACTTCGTAAACTTCCACAAAACAGTTGTTCCACCTAAAGTGAAAACATACCTATTAGTAGATCTTAATTCATCACTATCAGTTACCTAGTTTGTATCACAATACCCCTAAATAACTGCAAGGTAACTAACAAATTATAACTTCCAATCAACTATACCTTTAAGATACTTAAGTGTTTAAGAGTATTCCAATATTCACTACAAGGATTATAGGTACATCTACTTAGTATACTCAATGCATAGGCAGTTTCAGGCTCAGTATAATTTATAAGAATATTAGACTTTCAATAATTTTAACATATTTAGTTTGAGAAACATTATTTCCCTTATTCTGAATCAAATGAACGATGGAATCATGAGGGGTTTTAACTGGAATTACTTTATAACTATTAAATTTATTTAATTACCTTTTAAAGTAACGAGATTGATTTATAGAGATTTTTTTCTTCTAATTTTTGTAACCTTAGCATCTAAGATTGCATCTCTCTCTCTTAAATCAGTCATGTCAAATTTAGTAGACAAAAAAATTTGGTTTTATTTATGACCTTAAAATTGATACTAAAAATCAACATGTCATCTACGTATAAACTTATGATAACATGATTTGTGCCAAATAGTTTTAAATAAAAACATGCATCTACATCATTAACTATAAAACTAAAACTAAGAAAAGTTCTATAATTTTTTGTACTATTTCAGAGCTTACTTAAGGCCATAGAGAGACTTCTTAAGTCTGCGTACTTTATCTTTCTCTCCAGGAGTCATAAATCATAGAGGCTACTCTATATAGGTCTCCTGGTCCATGTCTCTATTTAAAAAGATGTATTTTACATCCATTTAATGTACTTGTAATTGTGAATTGAAGCTAAAACAGACAAGAAAAAACTTATTGAGATCTTAGTCGCAAGAGAGTATGTCCCATATTTATGAATGAACCTCTTGACTATTAATCTTATCTTATATCTTTGTATTAACTTATCTGCACTAAATTTCTTTCTAAAAACCTCTTTATCTCTGGTTGGCTTAAATGTTCTAGGCAATTCTATCAATTCCCACATGTGATTAGATTCAATAGATTCTATTTATTATTTATAACATCCCTCAAAAAGCTAACATTAATAAATCTTATAACTTCCTCATAAGTTTTTATATCTTCATATATTAGAAACGACTAAGTTTCAGGACCGAATATTAAGTTTATATCGCTTATTTCAATTATGAAGAAAGTAATAAAATTAGAACAAAAACTACTGGTTACTCTTTTCCTTTTATTCCTAGGCTTTAGGTTATCAATTGAGGAATCTCATGTAGGAATATTAAAAAAAGAAACACGATTATCTAAGTGTACATTAATAAAAAATATTTTCAAAGAAAATAATTTCTCTAGATTTACAGATAGAGTAATTATGTAAAGGTATAAATCTATATATAACACTATTAATAATATGACCAATAAACATAAAATCAACAGTTTTAAGGTTCGATAATAGTATTTTTTCACGGTTATAGAATAATATCTTAATTATTTATTTAATTTACGAATTTAATTATAAACTCTTATTTAGATATTTTTTATTTTTTAAATAAAATTAGCTGGTTCTACTTTATATATATATATATATATATATATATATAAAAGGAAATAAAGAATAAGAATAATACACCCCTAGAAACACAATAAATTTAATTTATTTGAGAAATGAGAGAATTCATTCCCATACAAGGATACAGTGGCCTAAAACAAACTAAACTAAATTGAAACTAAGGATTAAAAGGGGGAAACAGGCCTTTATATGGAGAAAATTACAGTAGGCCAGGGAGAAAACAAAAAGCTGAAAGTCATGGAAGATTTCAGTTCAGCAAACCATCTTCTTGAATGCTACACAACAACTGGTTCACAGCTGTGGCTATGTCATCCACTGAACTCAGCTTACTGTCATCTTCTACCTTAACACCGAGGGAGTAGAGGACCGTTTGATCAACAGTTGTGACGTTGAGATGGAGGACACTGAGACCCATAATATTCAGCCAGGAAACAACCTTCAAGAGCTGTGCCGGTCGCTTTTTCGATCTTATTCTCAGGTTTACATGGCTTTCCACCATGGTAACTTCTATGTCAGCTCTGACAGATTGAGTTTCAACCAGGGATTCATCATTTATGGAAATTGAATCTTTACCAACACCCAGTTTTGAATTTGTTGAGTACTGTGGGAATGTGAAGAATTCATCGAAAACCGATGAGCAGCTGCCGTGATTACCATTAGTGTTTGATCTTTCTTTTACCTTTATTTCAGCACTTAGCCATTGAAGATGGTGCTCAAGCTCCTTCACAAAATTGATAGCTCCTCCTATAATTGATGCTTGATCACCCTAATCAAAGGAAGTACATTAATGGAGACATTTGTCACAGTTAAGAGCATAATGATGGAAAGAAAAATACCGTTTGAACATAAGATTCAGGCATTAGAGATCGAAGAACAGAGAGATATTGGTTCATTTGCTTTCTTCTATTGCGCTCCACAGCAATGTGAGTCATCCTTTGGTTCTCAATCTCTTCTTTGTTCTTTCGAGTCTTGGATCGACGTCTCTTGCGACGATTACAAGTTGTCGATGAAGCATTGAAAGCTGAAGGGTGGTAGGTGGATGATAATACGTTAACATTAGCAGCATCACAGGATGAATTTGGGCAGTGGTGATGAATGAGATGGGGTACTAGTGCAGCCATTGGTGAAGTTGGTGAAGAAGCAACCCAGTAATCTCCACGAGTAAAATCATCATTGATCTCTGGAGTTTGGTTGTCAGGAAAATATGCAAAAGAATCTTTGGATTCTTGTTTTTCCAGGCCAAAATCATGGTTCCAATTGCTGTTGTGACCAAACAAATCTTGCTGAAATATCACAGCCTCTAATGTCATTGCTTAAACTAAAAACACAGATAAAAGAAAAGAAATGGTGTTGCACTTTAGGGGTGAAGAAGTTGGCTTCTTAAAGGAATTTGATTAAAAAAAATGCATACCATAATTGAATCTGAAATAGTATGAAATTTTATTGAAAGATAAAGCAAAGGGCCAAAGGCTACAAAAATATGATATCCCTTTCTACCTTCATTGGCAGAAAAGCCCTATGCTTTGGGGTATTTAGCCAACAGACTCTCCTGTTCGTACAAGTAAACATCATCATTTTCATAAAACACAAAGTTCATACATACATACATACATGTATATATATGTGCGCGTGTGTGAGATAAATTTGGATTTGAATTTCAATATTTATTATTATTTCACTTAATTTCAAACTTTTTTTTGTCTTCCCAGTTCTCAAGGCTTCGTCTTGACTAATTTGAATCTATCCGGATCGTACACCTAACTTTGTTGTGTGAGTCTCCGAATAGAGATTTTCTACATACACAATAACTCAAACTCGAAATCTTTTTAAGCGATATCAAACTTTGGTGATTACCTACATCTTCCTTTGTATAAAGATAACTGAACTCTTTTCAAAATGTGAGAAATTCTAAAAGTCTGAATAATTTTAGATATAAAATATTTTAAGTCAAAATTTATTTATGAATTTATTGAGTTGTCTCGGTTAAAGGAAAATAATTTTCCCTTGGGGTTTTGAGAAGAGTGTATGCGTGTTATCTATGATAAAAAACTATAAACATTTTATATTTTATAATCAACCCAGATTATTAAAAAAATCAATACTTATATTATTGGATAAATGCATGTAACTTTATTAAGAGAAAATCAAGAGTTTTTTCTTCCTTATTTAAAGGAATGTTTTATGGCAAAATTAACTCAAACATTTGTTCTTATTCTTTTGTTCTCTTGTCGGCAAATAAAAGCCACAGTTTGGCCAAAGAAGGTGGCGCGTGAAGCTCACGTTTCAGCAATCCAAACTAACAGGGGGTTGGTCGTCATTTAGTAATACTGGTCGGACGTACGAATCTCATTGATACAATAGCATCGAAAACCAGTAACTATGACATTGTAGACATTCTTGCAATGTTATACTAAAACACAATCTATTAGAGTATAAGATTAAAAAGAAAATGTTATAATAAAAAATTTACCAAAAGCACCAGAGTAAATTGGATAATATTTTGAGTTGAAGTCGTAAATATTACGTTCTTTGTAATAAATTATATAAATTGTATAACTATTCTGATTACAATTTAAAAAATTATCATCAAGAAATTCATATGACACTTTTTATTATAGCCAAAAATATTATTGATTATGTAAATTTTTAGAGTAAAGATGAGTTATAGGCTAATAATTTTGAAGCACAAGATATGATATATGTTGTAACTCCGCACAATAATTTAAGAAAAACCTAGAAGATGATATGCAGAGAAAATAAATATTGAGATTTTGAAGTTTTAACGATGGATATGATCCCAACAACGTCTACTTTTTGCATTATTATGAGTAGTGACCAACACCCATGTCACTTTATGTCAAATAAAATGATCATTATGTAGCTGGTTGCCTCCATTGAGATGACTTCATTTGTCATACTAAAGAAAATCATATTTATATACATAACATATATCTAAATTAATTATTTTTATTTTTATTTTCCCTCTAGCCTCGGGAGAGGAAGTTTACTCCATTTTTAAATTTAAATATCATTTTTAGAAAAATTAATATCAAAATAATATTTTTAGTTTTTTTTTATATTTGTAGCATTTTATACCATGTAAGGGAAAGATTTCTACTAACTTTATTAAAAAAGATAATGTGATTGGTGCATGTCAAAGACATATTTATACGAGCACGAATCGAATGAAGACAAGAACTCGTGCGTATATGCTTTGTCTTTAATCACTCAATAATGATATATTTAAAAGGTTATATTCAAACACTTACAAAAATCAATATCTAAATGTTGGGAAAAGATGGATATATATGTGAATACATATTTTCCTCTTTGTGTGATTAAAATGGGCACAAATATAAAAGACAACAAAAACACAATATTTTGGTGACGCAGAAAACCCAAATCGGAAAATATCGCATGACACTTATCCAGTGCAAACTTGTCTTCCACTATTATATGCGTAGGGATACAAAATGCCTCACCCAATTAGGATGATTTACAAAAATATTTACTCAACAGTAGCTCACTCTATCTTTCTTTCTCTCTTGAAGGAAGTCTCTTGTGAAAGTTTCTACTTGCTTGCTTGTTATATGTTAGCCTTCTCAAAATCTCATATTTATAGTAAAGCAATGGGGTAAGCAAAAGTCTCATTCATAGCTTCTGGATGAATCCGCTATTTGTTGTTGCCTTTTGAAATACTCGGATCCTAGAATTCAAAACTATCTTTGACTGTCTCATTGACATGAGTCTGATCAAATTTACGACCTGTCTTTGAAAACTCAAAATTAAAACCTTAATACTTTTAATAATAATAATACGAACATATAAAATTAATAAATATTTTAATATGATAATGTTGGGACGTTTCTAACGTTCGATTAACGTATGAATGTAAAGATTCTAATTTAATCTAATTTTTTCTCTGATCTATCATATACTATTACTCTAATATAATATAAAAATCATACAAGGTGTTAGGGTGGGAGTTGTGGTGATGCAAAGAGTTACTAAGGTTGGTGGTTTTAAGAGTGTTTGACATTGTAAGTGGCCACACAAATTTTATGAGTTTGTTAGGAAACAAGTAGAGTTTTGCCTTTAATCAAGAGCAGATTAACGTCTTTTTCCGAGTTAATTGCATCTTATGTATGTAAACTATAATTCTCATTTTAAATTAGTCCTTAAAATTTTGAATATTCTAATTTTATCTCTAAATTATTAATCTTGTTTTAATTTCATCCCTAAACTATGGTTCTCTTTCTAAATTAGTCTCCAAACTTTTGAAGATTCCAATTACATCCTCAAATTCATCCAAATATGTAATTAGTTTCAACCATAGTTTAACTTAAATTTTATCTTTTTTAACATATAATAATATAACTTGGCCTAACGGTTTTATTAACAAGGGTTGTGAATAGTATATACATATAGTTTAGGATAAAATTGTGGAATATTCAAAATGTTTGGGGACCAATTTAGAATGAATGTTATAATTTGGGGATGAAATTAAAATGTTCAAAAGTGTGAGGACTAATTTAAAATGAGAGTCATAGATTAGGAATGAATTTAAAATTAATGTCATTTAAAAATTTAGGGACTAATTTAAAATGAATGTCATACTTTGAGGGCATGTGATACAATTAATTCTCCTATTCCTTGTAATCTTGGTGTATCTATAAGCAAGGCTTGCGTGCTGGAATTAATTACAGTATCTCTTTGTTCACCGGTTAACGATATAAACGATGGGAGATGCTTTTCATAGCATATCTCCTGAGAACCAATGAACGTCTTATGTAAAGTTGTAAATGAGACGAGACTGATCGCGAGATACTCGAGATCGAATCGATTAAAGTTCGATCAATACTCGAATCGAATGAACTCGACTCGAACTCGATTCGAATTCTTAACGAGATAAAACGAACTACTTAACACTCGATTCAAAAAGCTCCCGAGCTACTCGAAAAAATATTATATAATTTTATATTTTTTAAAATTACATTATTAAAAATATATTAAAACTACATTATTGATAATTATAAATTTTTAAAAATATATTTTTAAATGTAATATAAGATTTTTGTAGGTTCAAATTCGAGTTTGAGCTCGAATCGAGCTTCAATCGAGCTCCTGATTTTTTTTTGAGATCGAGCATTTTCGAGTTCGAGTCGAATTTCAATATTATATTTCGAGTTTGAGCTGAGCTTGATAATTTTTAGATCGCGAGTTTTTGAGTCGAGTCGAGCCTAATTTTAAACTTTTCGAATTCGAGTCGAGCTCAATAATACTCAAACTCGACTCGACTTGTTTACAACCCTAGCCTTATGTTTCGAGTACTCTTCATCCTTACTTTAATGCCTTAGATGGAAGGTTTTTTTGTTGCATAGTGTCAAAAAAAATATTAAAATGGTCATTTTGCCCTTATTTTACTTTTTAGAGTATTTTGACTGTAAACGTTTCATTTTAGGGCAAAAAACTCCTAACATTTGATAGAATAATCAATTTGTCTCTTATTCTTTTTTTATATGACATTTTAGCTCTCAATATTTCATTTTAATTTTAAAAAAACTACTATTTTGGAGCGTTAATCATGTATTAACAAATTATTATTTTTCTATAGAAGGAGTTTTTTTTATCCCAAAGTAAAATATTAGAAGTTAAAATGATAATTTTGGTAAACTTTGGAATTACTTTTTGACATTATGCCTTTTTTAAAAGAAACAAATTCTCATGTGGTACGAGTTTGCATCTTTTAGTGGCAAAGAATAAGAATAAGAATAATAATAAAAGCTATATAATTTGAGGGGAAAACTGCTGAAATAATGCTGCTTGAAATGTTTAATTCCCAAAATAATCCAGTCAGTCGATTATTTTCCCAAATGGGGTGATTGCTACAGGTGACATGTGATCTCCCGACATCTTCAGAGGTGTTGGAATCATTAAAGGACCTCTCGGCGTCTTTAATTTCCCCTGCTGCTACGAGCTGCGACACTGCATGCTGCTGGGAGTGGGAGCTCTGCATGTGGGCCTGGACGTGGGAAATCAAGGGGTGAGCAGAGAAAGATGTTGTTGCATGTCCCAGAGGTGAGCAGAGAAATCTGCATATGGGGGGGCTTAAAGTCTGAATCATGCATGCATGCATGTGTTGGATTTATTAGAGGATTTCTCGGCGTCTTCTTCACATTGGGGGGTGGATTTCTCGGCGTCTTATTCACATGGGAAGGGGATGTCTCGACGTCTTCTATAGTATAGGTCCACCAATACATGCATAGGACGGGTTCGGAATATGTTTATAAGAGTGCTCGGCTTTAGGCAATTCATTGTGAATCAATTACAGAAGCAAAGAGAGTGAGGGAGGATATCGATTATCAGAAGCAAAGAGAATGAGAGGATATCCATCATTGTCGTCAAAAAATTGAGTTAATTTAAACTCAAGCCCTAGATATCATTTTCTTCTTG